CGTTCACGGTTCGACTTCTGATATTCAGATAGAGTTCTAGGTCAAACTGGTTTGTTCGACTTTCAAGAAATTCCAGTTCTAGTGAGTTCGAGAACCGAGGTACCACTGTATATATGGGGTCTGTGGATGGCTCCCCCCTATCTGTGGTTGCTCTTGAAATGTATCATCCATTGATATGGGGGGGGCTACTGCAATAAAAATATACTACTAACAATGATGATAAATGAATTTTTTTTATACTAATTGTGTAATATAATTATTGTATGCTATTATACTTATTAATAATGAAGTAGTCGATGCGTGGCACCGTGAGTTAGGACTCCGTGTCCGTGATCAAAAAGTTGCTGGTTCATATCCCATGGATGGCGGAGTGATGTCACTGTTGCCCCCCCCCCCCCCCCCCCCCCCCCCTCACTACTGTGATGCGTGGCTCCTCCCCCTTTCTGCAGTTGAGCCCGCAGTGCTGTTTTCCTAGACACTGGAGCTTAAATATCACTTTTATCGCTTTGGGGATAGTGATGTGGAAAGCTCTATGTCTGCTGCTTCTCCAGAGGTGTTCCTCTGAATACACACCCAACCCCCCCACCCCCATTGTGATATGTGGCCCGGACCCCTTTGCCCAGTTACAACTCGCAGACACTGGAGTTTAAACATCACAAACGCCGCTTGTGTCTGATACCAGGACATTTGATTGAGTAGCCAGTGAATGTCAAGCCTCTGTTTCCTGTGCGTGGGAGAGATTCTCTCTCTATGTCAGATGTGTGATGGCAAGGAAAATGGGAGACGAGTGTGGCACTCGGTTTCCGGAAACCGCGGCCGTGCCGTCGACGGGCCTCTCGGCGAGCGTCTAGCGGATCCGGATCTGATTAGCGGAGCGTGCGGGGATTGAGACGAAAGCCCCAGGGGTCTGTCCCTTGGGGGCGACCATCCCTTCTGTCTACTCATTAGCTTCTCATTAAAGGTCATGTCTCTTGTTTGCTTGTTTGGACTGAGCTAATTGCCCCTGGCAGGACTGTTCTCTAAGCACCATTAAACAGTCTGGAATCGAGAACAGACAGCTATTACGGAGACCTCTCTGCCGTATTTTGTAGTCTCTTGAAAGTGAATGCAACCTTCATCTCCATGATAATAAACTGCGTGTGCGTGTGGAGATGTGCGTAAATGGTGGTGAATGCAGAATAGGGGGTGGATGTGACGGGAGTGGGGAGACACGAGGTGTGCTGATGGCTTGAGGGGTGAACCCCTCCATTCCCCGCCCCCCGGCCCAAAATTTGTGGTATAAGGCAGGGAAAATGGGGCCACCAAAGAGCAGTGGAGGAAGGAGCTGTAATGGAACCCGAGTTCTAGGGCCTAGACAGGTCTTCTGAAGCTGCACGCAGGATCTCCATGTGTGCCAAGCACTTCCTACGCCAGCCTCGAAGCGGGGCTTCGTCTCAGCGGGGATGCAGCTGGGATTCAGGGCCTGCAGCAGTCGTCATGGTGTCAGGGAACAGTCTTAGGTGGGATCTAACATTGTAAATGAATATCAGCAGGGAAGGGAGCTTGTGGTTCGTGAGCTCGGGGGTGGGGCAGCTGCAGAATTACCTGGCTTTGTTTCTGCTCTTTTTTGTGTAGATTGTAAAAGTTATTGTGGCAGATGGTGGCATAAAATTCCCATCAAGGGGATACGGAGTCAAACACGAGCAGCCCACGTCGTTTGATATAAACGGCTCTTTAAAACACGGCTTTGGGTGGCTGACGAGTGTTACCATTTCAAGTTGCAAGTTGGCAACCCACCCCCCACCCCCCTATGAAAAAAATTCTACCGTCAGTGTGGTTTGTCTCTTGGCTGGGGGAGCGTGTTTTGTCTGCTACCTGTACTATAGCCTTCTGTGCTTTTAGCTTTGACAGCAGAATGTAAGCCGCTCTCTGCATGTGTGTGCGTGCATGTGTGTGCGTGCATGTGTGTGCGTGCATGTGTGTGCGTGCATGTGTGTGCGTGCATGTGTGTGCGTGCATGTCCTCCTGTTTCACATTCCCCCCGCATCCACCGGTCCCTGGTTCCTGGGGCGATGGCGCCGTTTGGCCAGCCGTGGCGAGGCGAGGCCCGTGGATCGTATCGCCACGTATTATTAATGCCTCCTCCCGAGAGCTCAACCCAAAGGGGTGTTTAACCGTCTCAAACAACCCGAGAGACGAATTAACCCTCAGAGAGCCCCGCGCCTCCCCTCCCCATCCCTTTGCGCCGCTGATATGCTCCATTTTGTCACAAGCCCGTGGCGCTTAGATGACTGGCAGGCTGATGCGAGCAGGAGCCTGGCACAGATTTCTTGGGGGGGGGCGCCGAGAGCACTCAGCTGGTTGGCCGATACCCGCCTCCACGCTGGGCCGCAGGCTGACCTCTAGCTGTGCCTCTCCGTGTGGGCACTGATTTACCGATTCCTACCCAGATAGTATCACCAGCTGGTGCTGTCCAAGGATTTGGTGGTTGGGCGTTGGGGATGCGGGGGGGGGGGTTGACCTTTGAGTGACAGATCAGTGATAAGTGACACGTGCAGCCTAATGACTGTAAGGCTTTGGATTATTTTCGTTTTTTCTTCTTCCGTTTCATCTCTCTGATTTCCTCCCCCTAGTAGCAAAACTGAGAGTCTTGGGTTTAGTTGAGGAGGGGAAGTGAAAGATTATGGGGGGGCTGTGGGGGGGGGGGGGGCGGTTGCCGTGAGAGTGAAACAGGGGAATCGCTTCCCCCGCAGTTCGCGGATCGCACAGGTGCGGGGGGGGGGGCTGAGCTGTCAGAACCCGGTGACATTATGACCTTCCCCGTCATATTTACTACTACCGAATGGGCCATGCTGGTTTACCTGATCACCAGCGTGATCCTTGAAATGCACCCACATGTTAACCCCCCCTCCCTGATTAGCCACTCTGTCCTTTTGCTCTTATTACTTTTCGAGACGCGTGTCATTAGTCTCGAGCCGCTGAGCTCGACATCGGCGGTGCCGTGGTGTGGCTCTGCGAGACGCGGCTAAATGAAGTTTACGGTAATGGATTTGCCGATAGCCAGACGCTCTGGTTTTCGCCGCTTTATTCTTTAACTGCCACCCACCCCCCGTTCCTTGTGTCTTGGGGGCCGGCATGGGCGGCTACACGCCCGATCCAATTTACCTTAGTGCTCAGATTCATTTTTAGGACGTTTTCTTGGCTGTTAGTGATGCAGTGGCTCCCGGCACTTTTGAAAGAGGCAGACTGTTTGACGGAGAGACAGACGTGAATAATTCGGTATTTTTAGGAGAAGGAGCGGCGTGGCCGATGTGTGCACCATTACCATAATCAGCCCGCCAGTCCCAGGGCGGCTGCCGTGTCATTTGCAGCCAGTTTCAGAAGCTTCTCTCTTTCCAGGCGCACTCTGTCCTGTGTCTCTGGGGGGGGCAGGGGCACCGGCTCTGTGGGGGCTGCTGGCAGGGAGCAGAACGACAGCAGCGGCTTCTGTTTACTCGAGCGGCTGTGCTGTGATCCAGGCTGCTAACTAGGAAAGGCTAGCAGCTAATGCTAATACATTGCCCACAAGGTCATCGATGGGCGATCTCACTCCCAATTCTACTCCACTCTGCCCAGCATCTATAGCCTAGCTGGATCCCTCAGAGGTGCTATGTCCTGCTTGTTCTCCTTCCTGTTCAAGGGTTAGGGTTAGCGTTGGCATGGGGGACCTGGGAGGAGGACACCAGGAAACGCGGAGGTGCCTCTTCCGACCAGAGGGAGAGAAATGGGCATCGCCATGGTGACTGATGCTTCCCAACCTGAATGGGGCCACTGGGGAAAGTGAAAGATCTTTTACAATGGCAGCGGAACAGGAAATCTAGCGGGATATCGTACATATTTTTCTTTCTGTGTTTACTGCGGGTGGCCTTTTTCACAAAAATAAAGCAAGTTAACAGCGTTTGCTGTGTGTGAGTCAGTGCTTAGCAGGCGTCTGTGAACAACACAGGTTTTCCTCGCCCTTTAAAGTTGAGTCGTTAACACTTGGCCCAGTCCAAAGGGGGAGGGGACCTCAAACAGCCTCGGGAAAGGAAAGCATCCTTTGGTGTGTATTACTGATGCTGCCTAAATGAATTCCTGGTTTGTGTGCAATTAAATGATTCATTATTTGCACTTTTCACACGGTCAGGTACTTGGTGCCCTTTCTGGAAATCGCAGCCCCTTCAGGGTGGATTCAATACCACCCCCCCCTCCCCCACCACAACTTGGTTTAATAGCTTGAAACTCCAACATCCAAATCTCCATCTCGCTGGTGTTTGCGTGTGTTCCCAGAGTGCACTTTCTCCTGAATGAATCACAGAAATCCAAAAGCCTGTGAGGTTTTATTCGCAGGATTGCAGCCTGCTAGCTGAGCCGACATACTCCACGCTTCCTTGCGATGTGGTTTCTGCATGGTTGGATCTGCCGGCCCGCTGACGTCTCATTCTCTTCGCCGCTCCACAGCCCTTGCGCATCGACGACAACTTCTGCGGGCACGACTTCAACCAGCCCCTGGGGGGCACCAGCACCATCGAGGGCATCCCCCTCTTCGTAGACCGGGAGGAAGGCATGAGTTCGGTGGCAGCCTACAATTACCGCGGCAACACTGTGGTCTTCGCCGGCACCCGTGGCGGGAGGATGAGGAAGGTAAGAATTTGAACCGGACCATTCATTCATTCATTCATTCATTCATTCAGCTTTTCTTACCATGCCAGTCCTTGCTTTAGTCCCCAATGCTGCTGTTAAAGTAGGCAGTTTTGAAGATAAAATAGCTGAGCAGTATGTCATTATTACTGCCCAATGTGAAAATGTTCTTTTTTGAAAGCATGTTTTTTTTTTTTTTTTTTTGGGAGGGGGGGGGTGTTTTTTCTTTCAGTTAAATTTAATTTTTTATGTGTATGTGTGACTGTTCAGAATGCTTTTCTGAGTGGAGAGGTGAGCCCTAACTGGGGCTCACACAACATGCACAAGATGCCCTCCTCCACCCCCCCAAACTGAAATGGGTTGCTCATTCCTTGCGGTGGAATGGCAGTGATATTCGTGCAAACGCTGCAGGGCTGTGTGTGTGTGTGGAGGGGGGGGGGTGGTGACAGAGCCAGAAATGGTACACTGCTGTCACCCCAACCCCCCCCCCCCCCCCCCCCCCCCCCCCCCCCCCCCGTCACTTCCGTTGCAGTGGCATGATGTCTGGCTGCAGTCTGCCTGGGTTTTGGTGTTTAGTTCTTAGCAGAACTGGAACGCTGTAGCATTTTATATAATGACACTGCATTTCAAGTGATGCTGCAGCCAGACACCGGTTTACCGTTTCCTCCATTCATCCGTACATCCCATTTCTGCGGCCGCTCGCTGTAAGATGAGGGGCGGTCTGAGGAGACGGGGGAGGATGTGCAATGGGACGCCATTCCTCTATAGTCAGGCACACACACACACACACACACACACACACACTCACTCACTCGCTGCACACTCTGTGTGTTCTTTGGCTGAGCGGATGGACACAGCGGAGCCATTGGGAACTGTGGTGCCAGCAGTGATTTCTGGGTATTGTCAGCTCTGTGCATGTATGAGAAGCGTCACCCGGGAGCAGGGGGCTTGCGTAGGTGGGGGGGGGGGGTATTGAGATATTGACCGCTGTGCTTTCTCTGTCACTCAGTGTTTTTATTGCTTGTTCTTGTGCATTAAACTGCCTGCCACGTCCTAATGAAATGTTAAGCTTATGTCTATTGACGCGGCAGTTTCCGGCCTTGCTGCAGGCCTGTCTCATACAGGCCACGGCAGCCTTATCGATTCCTTCCTATTATGAGTGGCTGGAGGGGCGTGGGGGGGGGCGTGGCCACGATCTCTGGCCGTAGGGAGGGGTCGTGCTAATGGTGCGTTCCATTTGCCTTCAGATCCAAGTTTCGGTTGCCGAGATTACGTCTCATCTGCTAAAAACTTGGGAAAACCAAGTCTGATGCGTTCCATTTGCCATAGAAGTAGCAATACCATGGTCCCATATCAATTTTTTGCTTAGCCAGACAACTTGCCGGATTTAAGGTGCCTCAGTTTAAATGGGCTTTTATCTTCGTTCACTTACATTAGCCCGAACTAACTTAAATCCGACAAATAATCTGACTAATCATGAAATCCAATTCTAGCCCGGTTGATTGTTAGCCATTGTTAGCAATACCAGTTGATAGCACATTACGCGCGATGCTTTATGTATAAAATAGCAACATGTCCACTGTTGAGCGTGCATGTTGTCACTTACGGCTTCAAAAATCAGAATCCGACTTGGAATCTGAGTTCCGAGGGCAAATGGAACGCATCATAACTTCCCGTATCGTTGTGCTGTGTCGCACTTGTGTTCTGATTGGCTAGCTTGGGATCATTGCCTAGAAGAATAGAGAATGGGCGTGTTTTGCCATTCTTGCCATCCATGTTTCCCGCAGAACTCATCCAGGCTGCCACTAGTGTTCTTACTGATCACATTTGTTGCCATGATATCATAGTGTCTGTGTTATAAAAATGTGTAAAGCATAATATTCATTGCTCAGTCATCCCTATATGCATATTTTTGATTGGTTTATTATCTCTTGAATTATGCTAACGTCAGAATTTCTTTTGAGAGGATTATACTGTACAATGCTGCATAATAGTGTACAATGTCCTTTAGTATTACTGTTTTTAATGTTGGTAATGTCTTACTATGTGTAATTTATTCATTAAACTTTATGTACACGAAAATCACATTACAGTGGTACCTCGGTTCTCGAACTTAATCCGTTCCGAACTCCGGATCGAATCCTAAAAAGTTCGAGTTCTGATTGAATTTTTCCCATAATAAATAATGGAAAACCAATTAATTGGTTCCCGGCCCCCCAAAATTACAGCTAAATGTTTTTTTTTGTATTTTTTTTTTTTTTTTTTTTTTTTAGCATTTAAACACAAAATGAACAGGATAAAACAAGAGCAGCATTTTTTTCTTAATGTCGTCCAAAACGATAAAGATCTTAACTCAACATTACCCCTGTCCTATCGTCCGCTCCATCCGTGTGCCACGCCCCCTCGTTAACCTCATGTGGGATCCCCATGTGATCAGCTGTTTCTGGTTGTTTTCATTAGTCCTCTGTATTAAGTCCGCGTTTCAGTTTGTTTCC